CAAAAATGTCATGTCTGACGTTTTTAACTAAAAAAAACATTTTTTTGATTTTTTAATTACAAAAACGTCGAGTCTGACATTTTTAATTAATAAAATCATTTTTTTTTTGATTTTTTAATTACAAAAACGCCAAGTCTTACGTTTTTAACCAAAAAAATCAATTTTTTTGATTTTTAATCAAATCTAACGTAAAAAATGATTTTTTAATCATAAAAACGTCAAGTCTGACGTTTTTAATAAAAAAATCAATTTTTTTTATATTTAATTATAAAAACGTTTGATGACCCGACCCAAAATTTTCGAGTCAATCTGACAGTATAATGATTATAACTCACTAATAATTACCAAGTTACTCTAGTTAGCTAATAATATTATTTTATTATAAGCATATATTCCCCACCCCTAAAATATTAGCTAATATATGTCACTGCACTTAAAGTAAACAAGTCGTTTTTTTTTTAAATTAATAAAAAATAATTATAATTTATAGGTTACTAATAATGTCATTTAATTCAAGCAGATTTTCTGTTTCTTTTCTTATAAAATACTTGTCCTCAAAAGCTTCTGGAACATTATTCATGTGAAATGGCAATAAATGATCCATTTTAGGAAAATAAATTCGGTTTTCATGGTTATTTCCTTCAGTAGATTTAGTAAATCTAACATAATCTATTTGCTATTATAAATAAAATAATAATGTTATTATAACAATATATATATTTCATATTATAAATATTGATTGTGGAAATATATAAATAAAATATCATACTATATCAATAGAATCCTTCTTTGTCTCAATTGAAAATTGTATCCATTTTGATCCATACAAGTATATAGAGAAAAATGACATATATTCAATCCAACCTAATCCTTCAAGTTCCAATATATCCTCATATTTTAATAAATATTCCTTTTTCTCATAGATCTAATTTGAATGATATAATTAGTTAATGAATATACAGTATAGCAAGTCAAATAATTAAACTTACATTTCTTTCAATTATAAATTTTATAAAAACATCTGGTGAATTTATTTTTTTGACATTTATTTTCCAAACTATATTATTGTAATAACAGTTGATGCGAGATGTTATATCATCAAAATACAATCTGGGTAAACTTAAATGGTTATCTTTAAAAGATAATACCAATCCCGACGTACTTAGAATTTTGAAGATACTATTAGTAATTTCTTTATTAAACAATTTAAATTACTATAATATTATAAATATATTTACCTGTTTATATTACTTTCATGAAATTGATAATTATTGACCAAATTATGAAGATTTGAAATAAAATAAACATTATGTTCTATAAGTAATTCATTAAATTAGAATATATAGTTATTTTTAAAAAACAATAAACAATAAACTTTAAATGTAAGTTTACCTTTAAACATGTAAATATTAAATTTATCATTATATCCAAGTTCAACAAAATCAGAAAAATAATCTTCACACAAGTAAGACCAAAAATCGGAATATTTTTTTAATAGATAAACAAATGAAATATCATCATTTAACTCAAATAGTCTATTTAAATCTAATTTTGCTTCATAATAATCTTTTAATTCAATATATATTTTACACCTCATAAAAAGTAATGATTTATCATGATAAATATTAGTGGATCGATTAATTTTAGTAATAAGTTCATGGTAGTTTGATAACCACTTTAGATCATAATCAACTTTGGAAATTTGGGAGAGATAATCTCTTGAATCTTTCAAATACATTTTTTCTAAATCATTATTAGGATATAATTCAATGCATTTTTTAAATGCTATCATAGAATTACTAATATCTTCCATCATATAATATATTAATCCTTTACAATAATATGCTAAAATATTTGAAGTATCCATTTGTATTATATTATTAAAATTTAATAAAGCATTATCATATTCTTGAAGGATGTAATATGTAACAGCTCTCTTAGTTAAATTATGAACATTTTCTGGATCTATACTATCTACCTTTGTAAACCATATTATAGCATTATCATACTCCTCAATTTTACTCAGAATTTCTCCATAATAACATAAAATTAATGAATCTTTCTCATTAATACTGAGCAATTTATCCAGCATCTTTAGAGTATCCAAGTATCTTCCTTGCTTTTCATAAATATAAGCACAATACTTAAGACATAAATAATTAGTAGAATCATTTTGTAACACAATATCAAAATTTTTTAAAGCAACCTTGTTATTATTAATATTGTGATAACTAATTCCAAGTACCATATATATATTATTTATTTTAGCCTTATAATTTATTGAAGACTTTAAATCTCTTATTGCATCATAATAATTGCATTGTCTAAAATGAATTTCTCCTCGAATATACCAAACAATTGACTTTTTTCCTTTCAATTTAATAGCTTCATTTATATATAAATGTGCTTGTTTATAATCATTAAGACATCTATAAGTATAAGCTAAAATACATTTCATAGAATAACTTGCTGGAAAAGTTTTAAGAAATTCTTTACACCAATGTTCAGCATTTTTATAATTTCTTACATCTAATTCTTTAATAGCACTTTGATATAGTATAGAATGTTGTTTTTTTGAATTTCTAATTTGAAATATTGATTTTAATGACATATTTGCTTTTAAAATTTTCTTTTTCTTAGTTAACATAAGATCAACTTCTGAATCACCTGAATCACTATTATACTGTTTATACGTTGAATCATCAATTTCAATAATATGTCCAGCTTCAAAAAATTGTGGATATAAAATTTTATAAATAGTATTTTGTGATAAATACTTTATTTCATTATCTTCAATATTAACTCGACATTTAGGACATTTTTTTTGTTTTAATCTTTTTAAATTATTAAATGATATTATATGTTGACATTTTAAAATACATAATTGATCTGTTGGTTCATGATCAATTGAACAAGTCATTTCATTTGCAACAATTTCTAAAATATTAATCGATTCTGATATTTGCTTATTTGTTGATGAAAGTATATTTTGATTTCCTATTCCCTTCTCTTTTACTTTTTCTTTTCCCTTTCCTCTTAAATTATCATTATATAATAGATTAAAATCATCATAACACTTGTTTTTAACAAATGTTAATAAATTTTGAAATTTTTCCGATGAACCAATTGTTGAATTATTTTCATTTAATTTTTGAATGTATTGACCAAAATCAACTTCAATTATTGAAAACATTTGATTATTAAATTTATATAAATGAAATAATATTTCAATTGCTTTAAATTGAATAAAACTACTTGGAGCTCTATTAAGTGATTCAATTGCCAAATAATAACAAAGACCATGTGTGGATTTTTGAGTAGATTTTTGTATAAGATTTTGTGCAAGATCTAATATTCCAAACCATAAAGTATGTGGTAAAGCGAGAGGTTCATTTCCAGCAAGATCATTTATGAAACTTCCAGTATTTCTTAAAATTTTAACAAGTTTATTTGATACTTCATCAAATTTAGATTGAGAATCTAAAATAGAATTATCGGCAACATCATTCCATTCTTTTTCCAAATAACTCTAAAAATATTCCATTAATATCATTTCTTGAAATTTTTTACTAACACTTTCAGACCAGTTGAATAGATTATATTGTATTATTAACATAATTCTCCAATTTACATAATAATTCGCTACCGGATATTTAAAATTTAATCCTTTATGTAATTGAGTAAGCATTGATAAAGTTGAACAATTATCATTTGGAAGAGTAACACCCGTTGCCATTGATAAAACACCGGGTGTAATATTTAATGCAGCTTTAAGTAAATCTTTAGTTCTTCGTACAATTTCTTGAAACCAAGTTTCATCATCACGCAAACTATGTAAAGTATCTCGCAAATGAATTAATAAGAAGTCAATATTATAATTTCGCTTATTAACAAAATTTTCATCATCTTTATCATGCTGCTGTAATCGATTGAATTGGTTGAAACTAGATCTATAATTATTATAAATTCCTTCTTGCATTACTTGAGTTGTTTTTTTATGAATATCTGCAAATTTTGCTAAAGAATTATAAACTTTATCTCGAAGTTCTTTACTTAAACGCATTGGCGTAACACAAATTTTTTCCAATACTGCCACCCAGGTACGTATGTGTAACTCTAATCTAGCAACACTCCGTTTTTCATAATAATCAAAAGATGTTGGATCTGCAAATGAAATTAAAGAATTGCGAAGAACTTCAGGTAAAAACTGGTTTAGTGGATTTTCGAAAAGTAGTTTAAGAGCAAAGAGATATTTTAATTTAGTTAAATCTTTAGTAAGTACTTCCACTTTTTCATTAGGAGTAATATATCCATCTTCTTCTAATTCTAGAAGGATAGAATTGTTGGACGCGAATTCATTATTTTCAAAGTTATTAAATAAGGAACTTTCGCTCTATAGTCATAATGTAAAATAAGTTTAAACGACCTTGGTTTATCAAAAATATTAAAATTTCATACATTTTTTACTCACCTGGATTGAATTTCTTTCCATTGTTTTTTTCATTAAAAAACAGAGTAGTACAAAAAAAATGAAAATGAAATTAACTTTAACTGTATTTATATAGAGCTTTCGATTACCTAGTTGTATTACTTATTTAAAAGACGTATGTGACGATTGTAATGTACAACCAACATATGAAACGCGAGTATGAATGAGGATCATCATCAGTGTACTGTACCAAGAATTGTTTGTTTTAAAGATAGTAAAAACCGCCAATATATTTAATATTATACACCACAATCGGTAAGGAAAGGCCGGAAATGACGTTATTTCTGGCCCCCTATAACTTTATTTAAAACGTACTAACCTCTAAAGGTAATTGATCTTCAAAAATTAAAATTAGTTTTTCCTAAAAATGATGGTCTGAAAATAGAAATTTTCAATTAAGTTTGAAGTTAAATTTAGATGATGTGCAAATAGTAAACTTATTGACGATCATTTATGAAAATAGCGATAATGGAGGTAATTATTGCTTTACTAATCAAATAATTAAGTATCCATATATAAATGTAATGTATTTCTTATTGGAAATAAAGGAATAAGAATGGGTCACACTTTATATACAGTATAAACATATCAGCATATTTACAGTATTAATAATTGTAGAATTTGAGATAATCGAAATAAGTTGGTTTAAAAATATGAAAATTATTAATAAATCTCTAGTTTTAATTAAAAATTTATTTTTAATAGAAAATTTCTTGGATTTTATTTCTTTATTTTTATTTTAAAGAATGTAAAAAATATTCTAATTATTTCACTTAACAAAAAAAAAAAAAAATTAATTAAAAATTTCAAATTAAAATTTCACAGAAGAAAATTATCGAGCCTTTCAAAGAAATAATCATCATTAAACATTGTTCTTGTTATAAGTATTACATCGAACCTTTCATATTACAAAAAATTACAATATAGGCGACTTAAATTTTATGTTCGCAATTATCCCAATTACCTAAAGGCCAGATACTTGCTAAATTATTGGATGGTTAGCATGGCGTATTTTACATCGAAAAAATGTCGGCTAGTATTTAATTTTGATAATGACAAAATTATTTATGGGTATTTTTTTTTTAAGACAAAAAAATTTGGTTTAAAAATTATTTTTTTATTTCTTTATTTGGAATCTTATATCATTTATTTTTTCTTCAAACGGATAATAATAAAAATTATAATACTTCAAAAAATTATCAAGTCATTTTACGTTTCTAGTTTTGGTTAAATTTGTTAAAATAGGCGTAATATTTGGTATTCCTTATATTTATTTTTTTTTTAGTGTCCAGCAATATATAAATAGGTCATAGGAAATTAGCAAAAATTTACTATTAACTCTACGCATTTTTCAGGGCCGGAATTATGATAATGTCAATCACCTACTAAAATAAATAATAAAAATTCTGACCAACATTATTGAAATTATCTAAAAAAGGAAAGATTTTCATGGGTTATTCTACGCGTTTATTTCTGGAAGTTTGCAGTTGATTAGCCGAGTTTATAAATGTCCGAGAATCTTCGTTTACTTATATTCCGATCTCATATAGATAGCCTCCAAATTCCCCATGAAGTAAATAATACTTATTTTGATTACTTAAATCATTTAAATCTTATCCATTTTTATTTATAAATTATATTATTTAAAAATCATTAAAGATATTGGTTGGTATTGCAACATTATTTAAAAAAACAATAACCAGAAAAAAGATTTGAATTTGCGTGATGCCCTTTAAATCTTATCCATTTTATTTATGACGATTAAAGTTACGTAATTTATTTAAATCTTTTTTTGTTCACCTACTGTATATGACATATATTAACGACATACTATTGTAAAAGCATTATAAAATTTTTTGCTTTGTATTAGTTTTTTGTTAAAAAAAGTTCCATGATATTTTTTTTCTAGAACAATAAGGAATTATTTAACGAAATTGGACTTAATCACTTTAGTTCATTTTTCTATTAGGTAGGATGTTCCTGCTGTTGTAAAATAAAGAAAAGAGTTGATTAATATTCGTTATATCTAATAAGTATCCCCGTATCCTCTTAATTCATTAATAAATCGTTTAAAATGATATATAAAATTGCTTATACCCTTACAAATATTCAAAAGGTAACATATTTCAGTTAACCAAAAGTACTATTATATTAATAATTATTAGTTAACATTTAAATAACCCTTACAAGTTATTTTCAGTTAAAAAAGAATATAAAGTGAAAATAAAGTAAATGAAAAAACAAAATTAAGTAGAGTTGAACATGATGACAAAAATAAATAAATAAATAAACAAATAAATAAACAATTGTGATTTTACTGTATTTTATTTTATTTTATTTTATTCCAAGAAAAATGGTCAGTGTGACTGACTATGTGTAGAGACATTACATGAGGTATAAATACATAGTAAAGAAACTAACTATAATCAATTAATAACCGCTCGTCCCATACAAGGTCCATCCTTTGTAATGAACTATGCTGCTAAGCTAACATCCAAAAAGTACAAGAGTATGTCCATTCATAGTTATTACAGTAGTATATTAAGAAAAAATTTTAATCATTATGTATATCGGTAGTCAAGGTATACCGGTAGTCAAGATCAGCCTGTATAACAATCTTTTTTTCTATTACATCATTCAAATTTTTTTTTTTTCAATAAAGTTTATATAATAAAACATATTTTTTATTCGATAAAACATAAAAAAGTTTAAGAGTTAATGGGTATATTTTTATGAAGCCGGTATTTCGATGTTTTTCAAACTTAGGATGTGCTGGGATTGTTTGTAAAAAAAGTAAAAGCCAATTTAATTATGCAATAGGGGTATGATGGTAAATTATCTTGCATATATTAACATTTTAACGATCAAATTATTGGAATTTTCTCACTCGAGGAACTTATTTTCATTATGGAGGACAAGCAGCATAAAATACCGTAGTCTTTGCCCAATCAAACAGCTTGAAAGTGCATACGAGACGAATAAGACTAAGACTATAAGAGGAAGCGAAAACGGATTAATGATGATTTTGATTATCTCTATGGCCCGGTGCTATATCGAAAGGCAGTAAGTTGCCTTACACCATCGAATTCACCGATGATACATTTGAAGGGTGTGAAGAAGGTTTTGAGATACGGGTGTTCATTAAGATAAAGCTCCCGAGAGTAAGAGGGTGTGAAAAAATAATCGTGCATATTAGTCTCCCTCCAAAAGAAACAACGTGTCTATCTTTTCAAAAATAGGAGTAATAAATAGAGCGTCATCATGTTTAATAGGCTGCGCCATGTAATTAACTGCGTAACTTCGTTGTTCTGCGACATATACATTTTTTTTTTCTTTTCTTCGGCCGAGGGGGGACAAAAAATAAAGAATAAAGTGTAATTTTGCTTTTAATGTAATAAATATCACTCACAGATCGATTCTTTCATTGTAGCATAGTATTAACGTAAGATTGGTATGAATCAGTCTCCAACCAATTGACAAGCTCATTATATTCGAACATACCCTTTGGATCTCTGGTGTGCTTGTTAATAACTACTAGTATATGATTTTTGTCCATACGCTCTATGCTTGTCAAAATCCGTCAATGGTGTGTATTGCGTCGGATTAATTGTGTACAATCCCATAGTCTTGCGACGATTGTTTCTTGATGATTCGTCCCCGTCCTACATATAGCCACAGAAACTATGCTAAATTCAATTTTCCCACATGATTACCTACACTTGAGTACAGGGTAAATGTCACTTCGCCGCAACTAAGAAACGAATAATCAAGAAAAAATAATCATGAACATTATATTTATTATTTAAACTTTTTTTCTTCATATTGAAAGTCACGAGACTTCTCTAATTGGAGCGCCCCGTGATCGTAACATTCCTATCATACGAATAATTTCTTGGCTAAACTTTTATCCGATGTCACGTGATAAGATTCTGAAAAATTTGGCCAGAATTATAAAATAGTTTTGGACATCGATCTCGTTTCGACCAGAGTTTCGTTTCAGATTTCGGAACTTTCGGATTCGGCCATTTCATTGCAGCAAAGTTTCGGATATTATTAACTGGAATGAGTTTCTAACCAATTGAGATTCTCGTTATAGTTGTTAAATATACCTTGAGATCACACTGGCGTGTTCGTTAATAACGAATTATACATCATATTTGTTAGTTCATGAATTTCACATTTGACAAAATAAAAAGTTGAATTTGAAAAATAAACAACAAAATCAGTAGCTTTAATTACACAAAACCAGTTACAGTTACAATAAATGTTAACATATGTTTGAGAATGTAAAAGAACGTAAAAGAGTGTAAAAGTTGTAAAGCTACATGCTATAGTTCCTTAGGTATTATTCATGGCAATTATGATACTCCCTCGCCAATGTATCATGCAAACTCTTCAAGCTATTTGAGGTTATCCCTCCATTATTTTTATGAAATTGATAACTAGGACATTCGATCAGTATTTCGTATACGTAATTTTTATTAGTTGTTGGATCAAGTTTATAAGTTACAGTATATCACGGATACAGACATCAAGCATTTTCTGTTGACCTGCTTGATTTTTTTGCTTGTAACACTTATCTTTCTTCTCATTCGGAATTCCATTGTATTCGTTTAATTGAACATCAACGTCTTCTTCCCAGTAGTAATAACAGGATTGATATCCCAAAAGACGATCGTAATCGGTAATTATTTCAAATGGCAATTCAGCAAGATATTGTGGTTGGCAAAATAACCGCGAGTACGAGATGCGCTTTTAATACAATTTCGGCAACTATAAACCCCATAGGCCCAATAAGTCTTTACATGTCCGGTCCTTTTCATGCAAAATTGACATTTCTTTTCTAGAACACACCGGATATAGAGAATTTCATTAATTTTTTTGGGGTTTGGTAAAAACGGCATAAATTTAGACCTAGAAAACTTCCAGATCTAAATAAAGAGAATTTGAGTATTAAAAAAGAAACAAAAGGAACAAAAGGAACATAGAACCAAGGAGAAAATTTAACTAACTTCTTTTGTCGTTTCGTTTTCAAGATAATAGAGTATGTCACGATAATTGTGACATGTACGAGAAAGATTCAAGAGATCAGCAGGGTGAAGATATTTACAAATCGCAATAAAGAGTTCAGTTGGTATCATGGTCGACCATCAATCCGGATCGAAGCACTAGCCAAGACGCTATCAAGATTATCCGGCCACTTTGTCTTGGCAAAATTATGCCGATCATGACATAATAATATGATGTAATCAATACATTGATTTGTCATGAGAAACATATCCCAAAACTTCATATTTTCTAGAACTTTCTAAAAAAAATATGAAGCCACTTACCCTAAAATCGCGTGACGCTATTGCTTATGGATAAACATGCTAAAGAGTTGGGATGTGAGAAAACAGCTATTAATGATATACTTAAACGCCTTCATGAACCACAATCCTTAACACCAAAAAACAATCCGGACGTCCACCGCTTCTTAATTCACCAGCTCAGTAAGAACTTAAAGATTTTGTTCAAGAAAATGGTGAAAACTGCCGACTTTGCACAAAAAAGCTTGCTACAGTATGGACAGCGCGTACAGAACAACCCATTTCTGTTATTACTATACGCTGTAACCTTAAGAAAATTAGGCTAACTGCTTGTATACCTCGTAAAAAACTTGCACTGTCAGAAGCACATCGTCAGGCTCATCTTGAATGGGCCCATGCACGTGAAAATTGGAGGGAAGGAAATGGAGACATGTTATTTTCAGATGCATGACGTAGTTGACGTACCGAATAACATAATGCCGGCTGGTATTATCCAAAAAGGTTATTCTACAAAAGTTTATTTGAAAATTTTACAAGTAAATTTGGTACTATTAAAATATAATATGATTTTTAAAAATGATTTTATTTTTTCCTTAAATTTAGCTTTATTATTGATCGCTATTATAAATAAATGATTACAATATAACCTAGTATGCGTTAATCTCTAAACTTAATAATGTCTCCACTTATTAAATTTAGGCTGCTGGGCGGGGTAGAAACTTTGACTTAGTCTTTATTATATTGCCATTTTGTGTCCTAAATACCTATCAATATTTTATATTAGTAATAATTATATTCCAATTTTTTCTTAGTCTATTATTTCTGATAACGTCAATTGAAAATTAGTCTCAATCTTGATTCTCGACAGATTCCTTTAGATGTCCAGCCGCCAATTCTATTCTGTTTTCAGATCATCACCTATTCTATGATCATTAATGATAATCATCATCCCTGCCACGAAATCATGTACTTTGCAATTTTTGTAGTATTAAGGTACAAAAGAAATTGACGTTTTGAGCTGTAGCTCAAGTGTTCGCTCAAGATTATACTGTTTTGTTCAGTAATAAGATCCAAAAGTAAATAGTGCTAGTTGTTAAATTAAGAACTGAAAAAATACAGCAGATCAGTAAATTACAAGAATTGGTTTATTTGTATTAGTAAGGCCCTAATATAGACTGGTAGAGAAGATACAGTATCGACAGTATAACTTTCACCAAAACGATAGGTTTTTATTAAATTTCAAAAATTGTCATAGTAGGTACGACTTTTTAATTCCCCTTTATTTATTTTTGATGGCGTACTAATATTGTGATATCCGAAATAATTTACCGTATTTATTGATTTCATTCGTCATAAAATAGCCGGGATGTTCCCATTTTCAGATTGACGGTCGTGTGATATAACGATATGTGCTGTCCCTACAAAAAAAAGAAAGAAAGCGTCCGGAAATTGTGACGAAAAGCGAAATTCCGGAATGAGGATAAATTCTAGACAAATTTCGGAATTCCTTTTTAATAGGATAATGTATGGCAAGCCAGAGCAGACAAATCTACGCCTATTTTCAACAAAATTTACCGCTTGTTTATGCGACATTTAGCATTTAATAAACTCATGATTTAGTGTATCACAAAATATTTACTATTTTAAGAATCTGGACTATTACACAACACAAGAAATAAGTAAATTTCTTGTTTGGTAATATAGAAAAAGGTAATGAAAATTTCGATGTATAAATTACCCGCATAATAAGTGTGAGAATAAGCGGTTATCATGTTGAAATAGGCGCAGATTTGTCTGCTCTGGATGTGGATGGTAACCATGTGAAATTATAAATCGGACCTGGTCTAGACCTTTCCTAATATGGTAAAAGGTTACGATATTGAATTATTTGTACTTATTATTATTAAAATTACTAGAAAGATTCATAATTTTTTTATCATTATAGATCTTTTTTCAAACAATATGAAGAAATCTTCGGTAACGTAGCATTAAATTCCATAGTACAATTTAGATAATAAAATTATTGAATATCTAATTAAAAAAAGGCAATGGTAATGAAAAAAAAATTTCTTTATATGGACGCGCACCAATTTTTTCCTTAAATCTGTTAACGAATCGGATTTTCTCCTGACATTTACTATATTACAAAATTCCTTAATTTTATTTCCAAAAAAAGTTTTGGAAGAATAAGAATTCTAGGAGAATGTCTGTGCTACTCCTTTAATATTTTTTGATTACTTGATTTATCAATTTCAATGCGTACCAAATAATAGTATGTCGATCAGCTGATCAACATTTAATTGCACGAATTGTAAACAATATGGATGATTATAAAATTACTTTTAAGTTAACGTTAATGATTCAATAACATTCTATCAGCTTATAACAATGTAACAATGACGATCAATATATGGTATTAGCATTATCATGAGACGAATGTTAATAAGCAAATATAAACAATGATATGGGTTTTCGCCACGAAATTTCAACGCCTTTATGTGTCCCGTTCCTAAAAAAAAAATCTTCGATAACGGAAAATCTCGGAATTATTAACTTATAAATACCGTATGATCGTTCCTAAATTTTTTTTTTTTTCATTCACCTTTAACACATAATTTCGTTCTTCTACTAATACTATTTAAATTTTAAATTTAAAACACTGCTTTTACCATGGTTCCTTTTCGACAAGAACTTGTTAACGATGCAATTAAGAATGCATTCACATTAATTGATCCTGTCATTAATAATAACAACAACACAGAGGAAAAACATAATTTTTTGCGACAAACTATCCTTGCTAACAAATCCCTTACAAATGAAGAAAAATCAGAAGCAACGAGAATATTAAATATAAGACGTGACCGGGACAGAATTCTTTTTATTAATAATGAAAGAAAAGAAATTTGTGAAAATTGTAAATTAGAACGTTTATGTGCAATGTATTGTGAAAATTGCATTCGAATTCATTTAGAAGCAAATTTTTCAAATTGGACATCTGGAAATAATGACGTCGATAATTTAATACAAATATGTCAAAGAAAATCGATAGCTCCACATATGGTAGTTGAATGGATTCCATACAATAATTTAAAGAACATCAAATATTTAAAAAAAGGTGGATGCAGTGATGTTTATACGGCAGATTGGATTGATGGGAGATATATCGAATGGGATTTCCAACAACAAGAATTAATAAGATTTGGTACACATGAAGTAATACTTAAAAGTTTAGTAAATCTTGCTAATAGAAGTTGGTTAGAAGAGGTATGTAAATTTAAAAATCATAATACATAAGATTAAAATGAAATAAATAATAAATATATTTAATTATATTTTGTAGGCTGAATCACATTTAACTATTGGTTCTAGATGGGTAGATATTGTTACATGTTATGGTATAACTCTAGATCCATTAAATAATGATTACATGCTCGTATTGCATAAAATGGATAATGATTTAAGGACTTATTTACGACAAAATCATAATCGATTGACATGGAAAGAAAGAATTCAAATTATTATATATATAGTAGGCGCGCTATATAGGATTAATATTGAAAATGCCATTTATAGAGATTTACATTCCGGAAACATATTATATTATAAAGAATTTGATACTTGGTATATTTGCGATCTTGGATTTTGTGGACCAGCCAATAGAACATTAAATTGTGTTTATGGAAATCTTCCTTACATAGCACCTGAAGTTCTATCTGAAAAAGGATACACATCTGCATCTGATATTTATAGTATTGCAATGATTATGTGGGAAGTTTCTTCTGGTCAACCACCTTTTTGTAATTCAAACCATGATTATCAACTTGCATTGGACGTTGTTAATGGTGAGAGACCAAAATCAGTACCAGGAGTTCCTATAAAATACAAAGAATTAATGGAACAATGTTGGGATGCTATTCCAGAAAAGAGACCTGATATTGGTACAGTTTTAGATAGAATGAAAGAAATAAGAAAAACGTATTATCAAAATATGCCAGAAGATAAATTTGATAAAAATATAAATCCCATCACCGATTTTTTTAATAACTTATCGATTAATAGTTTAAAAATAAATGAAATCGATGGTACAAGTAAGATTTACCAATTTAAAAATTTACCTGAACCGAGAAATGCAACAGAAGGTATGATGTTATTGTTTTAACATAAAATAATGAATAATTTTAATAACTTTATTTTTATTCAAATATTTTAAATAGAGGAACAAGAAAGTACAGTATATAAATAAACATATAATTATTTTATCAATAATGTAAATCCTAATTTATTTTTCAACTTTAAAAGTATTCCATAGTAGAATTTATAGCTACAACATTCCTGATAATAGTAAGTATTAATTTAATTGTTTGATTAAAACATTTATTAATTGTTATTTTATATATAGTTAATGACTTTAGTAATCAGAGCAGCGGTATGTCAAAAAAATTATCAAAAGTATTTAAATGGTTACGAGAAAGTTCAAGGAACAGTAAGTAAATTTATACAATTGCAATAGTACAATGACAAAAAAAATTTTTTTTATTAATTTGCTTTATATAATAATCTTGTAGTTATTCAGCTTAATTTTAAAAAAGACGTAATACAACGACATATTGATGGTATATAATATTTTAAATGTTGTAAAATGTTTCAATTATATTATACTAATACCACTCTAATTACTTTAAAATAGATGAGATTGACTCTTATAATAATCCAAACCTTCATTCAGAGGAACAAGATAAATTAGAAATTTCTGATGGTAAATTAATTTAAATATTATTTTAATTAAATTTTTATAATTAAATTCTAATTTTATAATCTTTATTACATTCTTTATTAGATTTTTTATTAGACAGATTTTAATATTCTTTATGTTATAAATTTTATGTAGCAATATTTATTTTATCATTATTATTTACCATTTATAATTATTTAATCACTTAGATTTGAATAACAGATTATTGCAAAATCATTTCATTTTAAAATCAAGTAATTGAAAAAAGTAAAGTATATAAAATTTTAGTCTTTAGTTTTATTTCTTTATCTTTGTGATTTAAAAAAAATGATAATCCAAAAAAAAGAAAAAACATTCTCAATTTATCATTATTTACTAAGAATTAATTAAATAATAATACATTTATATATTTATGACTTCTTTCTTAAAAATAAAAAAATTCCATAACTTTATTATAAAGTTTATATATTATATTAAAAAAAACTAATCACTATTATTTTTGCCAGTAATAAAAAATATCCAATAGTATGAAATATAATTACAGCCAATAATATTATTTGGGCATTGTTAAATCTCACCGCTGGTGATTTTCACCGCACCAGCATTAACAAATATTAATGGGCGGAGTTTTATGACATTTTAATTCTGCCCAAAATTCTACCCTAATTCTAGTTACCTTCATCTCCATCAAGAAAAACCGCAAGACTGAAATTTATGAAACATTAGGGAAGCTTACCAAAGGATCCATGAAGAATGTGACACTTTCTTGCAGGTAACAAAGAGGTTCAACACTAGCGGTTCAGGATTATTAGAACAAGATGAATTTATGAAAATAGATGGAGTAAATGAAAATGGTATTAATTTAGAAATTACTTCTCAGTTCTCATCATTTGAACTCAATGTTGCTTTTATAATATTTCTCAATCAATAATCTTTTAATTTAAGTAATCTATTTCTTTTATGAATTTTTCTAACTATCACCGGGGCGATGATCACTGGTGACTGAAACTATGACGATCGACCAGCATTAAAAAAATATAGTGCCGGTAAAAATTGATAATTCTGGCCAATGGTGATCACCCCCGGTGATTAATCTTCTTTTATTAAAATCTTTGATATTGCATATTTTAATATTTTTTATAACCTCGCATTTCTTTTATAACCTCCAAAGATTCTCTAATTTCTTTCCTTAATACTTTAATATTCTATCTAACAACCTTGTTCCTTGTTGTTTAAATCTTTAAAATATTTTACAACTTCAATCATATCCTGTTTATTACATCGTTCTATTGTTCTACAATTCCATATTGTTTTCATCATTTTATCTTTCCCAATTTCTCCGAATAACTCATAAATTTTTACTGCATTTCTTGTACTTTCTTTTACATTATCTCTCTCTTTTCCTTTTCTCTTATGTCCTAACATCTCATCATATAATTTCTCTCTCACATCCTTTTCAACCTTATAACTCCTTCTTGGATATTTACGTAATCCTTCTTTTAACCTTTCTTTGAATTCTTCTCCTATATCATAATAATCTTCTCTTACTTTTCCTTTATATACTTGTATTCTAACATATAACTGCCTTAATGATAATTTGTTCCCACTTTCACTCATACTAAGATAATCTTCCGTTATTTCTCTTTCACTATTCAATTCTTCTATTAACTTTTGTACTTTATTATTCCTTACTATCGTATTATTATTATGTGGTAGTAAAAGTATCAATAGCAGAATTAATAGAAATATGTGATGATAATGGAAAATAAAGGAATAAAAAATATTCAATATTAAGGAAAGAATGGCTAAATAATATCTAAGTAAGAACTAAGGTTAAAAATGAGAGAATTATGATGCTAAAGGAAAAGATGTTTACTAAAGGAAATAGAAGTTACATTTATAGAATTTAAAGAAATTATGGATTGGTACAGTAGAGAATATTAATAAAAGAAATATTTTACAGAATAAAAGGAGAAAATCCAAGAGCTTGGACGGATAAAGTAAAAAAAAAAATTAAAATAAAATAATATTTGTTAATAAAAGGAATTGAAGATGATGAAAGAATATTTAAAATTGTGAAAACATACTTATTAATGTATTAAAAATGATTTGAAACTGAAGGAATTTGTATTATAGATGAGAATAAAAATGAAATTGAGTGATTAATAAGGTTAACTTTTAGAATAATAAGGAACATTCAGATAATAGAGGTGAAAAATAGGAAAGATATATTAGTAGAAATCAAAGGACAAAATAATTGTTTGAAATGATGTTAAACTAGCAGTAAAATGTCAAGGAGAATTTATATGCTAAAGAAATTGTATTATGGAATTATAAATTAAAGTTATAAAATAAAAGAAGTTGTATGTTAAAAGAAATTAATAAAAAGATAAATAAAGAGTGATATTAACAATTGAATGCTCGTTAATATATAAATAAGTGAAATATATAAATAAAAAGAAATTTGAGAAAAGGAATTATTTGAAAAAGGATAATAAGAAATTGATGTTGTAAAAATAATATATAAGAAGATTATTCTTGTGAATTGGAAAATAATTTGAAAATGGCTGATATATATGACATATTGGAAGTAATTAAAAATAAACATGAATTAGAAAGACATATTGAGCGAAGAGAAGAATATCAGATGGATCCTTCATGTCTGAAATGTTATAGTATTGATAAAGAAAAAGAACCTGAATAGTTCAAGAAATTTTGGAAAATTTATCAGAAAGTAATCCCTATAAAAAAATTGGATACGTTTTTATAAAGTTTTATACGATTTTTTTTCCTTAGAAATAATGTATCATGAAAGGATATATACAGAAAAATGCACAATTCAGTATCACTAAAAATATGGTTTGGATACAGAATTTACATGGGATTCGTATGGAATTTACATGATTTGATCACAGATTTTATCATGAAATTTATATGATTTGGTACTGAATTTACCATTTATATTACAGTTTATTATAGTCGTATTTACGTTAATTTAATTCTACTTTATTAAATTAAATAAAAATTAAAAGTTAAACAAAGAAAAAATGTTTTTTAAAAAAAGGAAAGGGTGGTGAGTGGGAAATAAAAGAATAAAGTCAAAAAAAAAAAAATTTTTTTAAGGAGTGATAAAAAAAATTTTTTTTTAAAGGAGAGTGACAAAAAAAAAATTTCTTTTTAAAGGGAGGTGACGAAAATTCAATTTTGTATATTTTTCTTTAATAATAATTTTTAACAATCAAAGAATAAAAAAAAAAAAAATAAACAAAAACCCCTATAACAAAACAATAAACAATCATGTAATCTCATGTTATGATACAAGATTTTTGTAAAATCATCTTCTAAAAATATATTAAGTTTAAAAATTCTGTATACATACTGCATGATTAATTTTTTCCATATACATTTCATATACATTAGTTTTTTTAAAAATATTCAAAAATGAATTGCTTATTAAATATATGGAATTTGTATATGGAAGCTATAGAAACGTACATAAAATATATACAAAATATATCCTTTCTGTATATATATTTCTTATAGGGGATGATTCAGAAAAGATTGGAGAAATTTTAAGTTAAGGAAAACATGAAGATTGGAATGAAATACTAAAGATTTTGAAGAAAATGAAACTTGAAAACAAAGTTGAAAATGTTATAGAATTATTTGATTATAACTTACAAAAATTATTTTAAGAAAATATAATGAATATGGCAACTAAAGCACAAATAAGAAGAATATTAGAAAATGCTTTAGGATTAATAGCTAATGCATTGGATAATGCATTAGAAAAAGAACAAAAAATAGCAGACAGAATTGAAGTTGCAGGAAATGAGACTGAAATAGTAAATATGCTAATGTTTTACAGAAAAGAAGATGAAGATATCAATGATTAGATTGAAATAGCATTCACAGTGATAAAAAAGGCAGTAGGAGCCAATAGTACGAGATAAGTGGCATATACAGCAACTTGTTTGAGGGTGCAGTAGCACAATAATATAATAAAATGAAAGAGGCAAATGTTGGCCATTTAGTAAATTGGACAGATGAAGATAATGATAATAATTTAAAAGATAGAATTAAAAAAAGATTTACTAGAGAAGATATTAGAGGAGAAAAATGATAGAATTGGCAGGAATTAAATAAAGAGTAAATGAAAGTATTGAAGAATATACCAAAAGATTTAGAGCAGTATTAAGAATTACAACTAGAGGTTATATATTAAATGATGTATACCAAGTAAATTATTTCATTTAAAGATTAGAACCTATATTAGGATATCAAGTTAGGGGATTAAATCCAGAGAATTTAAATGATGCAATTGATAAAGCAAGAAAGAAAGAAGCCAAAAGCAAATTATTGAGGAAAACAATTGGTTTGAATATAGGACAAATTGGACAAAAGAAAAGTATGGAAGATATTTTGAAAGAGGAAATGAATAAATATAAAAAAGTAAAGTAAACCTAGTTATTAATTAGTGGATTTAAAAGAATAGAAGTATATATGATGCAAATGAATGGAAATAATAGAAGGCTAATGAGAAATAATAATGGTCAAAGAAATAATAATGTTAGTTGGAATGAAATGACTTGTTTTACATGTGGAAAATAAGGATATACTTCTAAAATTTGTAGAAAAAATCAAGGAAGATCATATGGAGGAAATAATCAAGTTAATGGAGGAAATAATAGGAAACCATACAGAGAAAGCAATTAAGTTAACTATATAGATGAAGAATATTATGATAATGTGTATAATATTTATAATGTAAAATACAATGAGTACAATAACTATGATAACTATAATGATGAAACATGAGGAATATAACAATTATGAATTAGATAATAATGAAGGTATAGAAGAAATGATATGTATCCAGCACCACCTAGAAGAAACAAAAGAAATAAAGACAGAGTTATAAATAATGAAAGAATTAGAAGAAGAAATGAACAATAGCAAGGATAACAACAGAAAGCATAAGGAATAAAAAGAGGTTTCACTTAAGAGCAATTATGAAAAGCTCAAGAAACTAGGAGAAATAATAATAGATGTCATAATTGTAGACAATAAGGGCATTTTACTAGAGAATATACAAATGAAAAAGCAAAATTGAACTGAAAAATACCTAATGTTGAAGAGTTTAAACCAGTAAAGAATTTATAAATTTGAATGTACCAATTACTTTGAGACAGTACTTTAATGAAACCAAATACAAAAAAGAAGTTGAAAGATGGTTTAAAATATTGATTACACTTGGAAGAATTAAAAAATATTAATCAAAAAGAAAAAAAATCATGAGACAAGATGTAATATAATAATTGAGAGAAAAATAATAAGAGTATTAATACGGGAGCAGAACCTTCAGTAAAATAAATGAATTGAGAAAAGAATTAAATATACTAATAACAAGAAAAAGTAGTGTTGTACTAACAATAGCAAATAGGAAAAATATAACTTATTAGGAATAGTAGAGATTAAAATAAAAATCAATGAAAAATTTAGAGATACCTTTAGAATTTGAAGTGATTTGATTCAAAAAGAAAAGATTTGATACTAGGAACTGATTTGTTAAAATATGGGATAATAAATATGAAAGAAGGTTTGTTAACAATAGAATTAAATGATGAGATATATGAAATACCAATTGATTGAAAGAAAAATGTTGAGTTTGAAGAATCAGAAAGCAAATTTAATGAAGGTTCAAAGGATACAAAAGATATGAATAATGATTTTAATGAAGAATCAGAGAGTGAAGATGAATATAAAGAATTTGAGAAAGAAGAACTACTCTCAAGTATAGAGGAAGCTCAAAAGAAAAAGAAAAATAAGATATGAATAATGATTTTAATGAAGAATCAGAGAGTGAAGATGAATATAAAGAATTTGAGAAAGAAGAACTACTCTCAAGTATAGAGGAAGCTCAAAAGAAAAAGAAAAATAAAGTAAAATAAATAGCCTTGGCTTTCTAAAAGAAAGAGAGATGATAAAAATGCCAAATAAAAGTAAAGAAAAAAGATTTGAAAAGAAAATATGTTTAGAGAAAATAAATAATGAGAAAAAAAATGTTTAAAAATTTAATAAGAAAATATAAAGATATATTTGAATATGATAAAGAAAAATTAGAAAAAGTAAATACAATAAGTATAAAATAATAATTGAAGGAAATTAAGAATTAATATTACAGAAAAGATATAAATAAAGAAACTGATGAAAAAGGAAAATTTATAAAGAAAGAGATTGAACAATTATTAAAATGGAAAAAATAAGAAAATCATGAAATCCTTAGGGATCACCAGTAATATTAGCAAGAAAGAAAGGTGGTAATTATAGATTCTGCATTAATTATAAAAAGTTAAATAGCGTAACAAAAACAGATAGATTTTCATTACCACAAATAGATGAATTATTAGAAAAATTCAGAAAGGGAAATTGGTTTACAAGTTTATATTTAGCAGTAGGATATTATCAAGTAGAAATTGCAGAAGATAAAAAGGAACAACATTTATATGTTTACAAGAATTATTTGAATATAATGTTATACCATTTGGTTTAAAGAATGCACCAGAAACATTTCAAAGATTAATAGATAAAATATTAGAAGAATATATTGAAGAATTTGTTACAGTATATTTAGATGATATAATGATTTATTCAAGAGATTTTAAAGAACATATAGAACATATTGATAAAGTATTAAACAAATTAAGAGAAAATAATATAATTGTGAAATTGAAGAAATGCCAGTTTAGATTAAAAAATATAAACTTTTTAGAATATATAATAGGAAAAGATGGTTTATAACCAGATGAAAGAAAATTGAGAAGTTAAAAAGCATAAAGAAACCAGTAACTGTTACAGAAGTAAGATTATTTTTAGAATTATGTTCATATTATAAAAGGTTTATAAAAGATTTTTCAAAGATAGCAAAACTATTACATAATCTGACTAAATTTATATTAATAACTGATTAATCTAAAATAGGATTAGGAGTAGTATTAGCTCAAATGAATGAAGAAAACAAAGAAACTGTAATAGTGTATGCAATAAGCACAGTCAGAGCAGAAAAGAATTACTCACCAATAGAATTAAAATGTTTGGCAGTATTTTGAGGGATAAAATATTTTCAGAAATATCTAGTAGTAATAACAAATCATACAGTATTAAAAGGATTAACAGGAAAAAAACAAACAAAAAAAAGAATAGGATGAGTAATGAAATTACAACAATTTGATTTTAAAATAGTTCATAGAAGTGAAAAGAAAATTAAGAATGCAGATGCATTATCAAGACTAAGATTTGAAGAAAAAGTTATAAAAAGTGACATTGAAAATGAAAATCAAGAAATAATAAAAATGGATTATAATAAAAGGAAATCAAAATATATTAAGTTTAAAAGTCAATAGTATAATATCAAAAGATTTAAAGGAAGATAGGATGAAATAAGATATTTCACTGATAAAAAAACAATACTTCTAAATTTAAAAGAAAAGATAGAAAAAGAACTGTTAAAAAAATTAAAAAGAGAAAATAAACTGCAAGTTATTATTATTGATAAAGTAGGTAGTGTAAAAAAATCTATGATAATAGAAAATGATAAAAGTAATATTTAATACATTTAAAAGAAGAAAAAATGATAATAAAAGATTCAAAGAACCTTTAAAAGAATATGAATGGTTATTCAAAAAATAAGTTGCTAAAAAAATTAATAGAAGGATAGTTGAATTTACTGATAAAGATATTATAATATTAGACAAATCGCTGTATTGTGAGTATTTTTATTAAATAACTAAAAGTTTTAATAGAAGATATATCAGTTTATATAGAAATTATAAAATGGAAAGAGAAATATTTAAATATAAAGATATCATAGATAATGCAATAGTAATTTTCTTGGAGAATAAAGAATGTTGGAAAAATTAGAATTAATATTAATACTATCATATATATGTAAGTGCATAATTCCTAAATTCAGGTCAGTTTATATGTTAAAATTATACACCCATACTGTACATTAAGAAAGCCTTTTTAAAACAATAAAATTATATAGATAATTTTAGCCAGAATTATAATGTAATTTTTAAATAACTAGATCATTTATTATTCAATATTGAAATAATTCAAATAATACATGACCAGTCATTTAAGAACATTTGAATTACTAACCATTAATTACTTATAAATCATAGATTAATTAATATTTTAAATTAAGAAATAAATTGAAAATATATTAAGAAAATTTTTGCATTTTTTTATAAAAATGAAATTTATTAAAAAAAATAAGAAATATATTCAAACTAAGCAAAATAAAAAGTTAATTCATATAATAACAATTTATATAATAAAAAAATTATAATTTAAATTGTACCAAATGGCAAAATGACAAAATGGCAAATAGTGGTGATAACATTATAAACTTTTTTTAATTTTTTTAAAAAAACGTTATCGTATATTAATATTTCTTTTTTTTCTTTTATAAAATTTGATTACCATTATAAAATTTTACTTTTTAAAGGAAATATTATATTAATACCTTTTTTTTATTTTATAAGTTTCAGAATAGGTTTATAGTAAATTTCATAATATATCATTACAAAATTATTTTTTAAAGAAATTATTCTAATATTTTCTTTTATTTTATAGATCTAAATAAATAAAATAGTAAATTTCATAATATTTTATTTTATTATAAAACTTAGTTTTTTTATTAAAAAAGGTTTATTTATTTATTTTTTATAAAAATTTCAGATTTAACTTAAATATTAGATTTCTAAGTAAATTTATTTTAAGACAAAATTTTGAAACTTTATTTAAAAAAAATATTAAGCTTTTTTTCTTTTGATAAAGAAATTAACTCAAAAAAAAATATTTTAAATATTTCTTTAATTTATTTTTTAATAAGAATTTTTTTTTCTTTTAATAATAAACTATTACTATCAGTTTTTTTTTCTTTTATAGGAAATTCTTTGATTATTCAAGATTTCTTATCTAAAATTATTGATATTTATAATTAAAAAGTATAACTTATATAGAAAAAATTTATTTTTATATATAAAAATGATATGCTGATTATTTGCAAAAAAATAATGTAATTTTTGACCAAAAAAAAAAAAAAATTTTTTTAAATAAAACTTAATATAAGTTTTATATAATTTTTAAAATTATAATTTATAAGTAATTTTGCCTACTTTATAAGTTTATTTAATTTATAAATATTATTTTTAATATTTTTGATAATTTATAACTTATAAATAAAAAAAATTATTTAAACTAGTATATTAAAAAAAAAAAGCCTGGTTTCTTATTAATAAATAGAAATCAGTTATTTAAAGTAATAAAAACTATTTTACAATATTTAAAAATAATAGTTTAGATTTAAAGAATTTCTAAAATACTACTTATGTCCAAGTAGTTATAATTAATAATATCTTATTATATTATATAATACTGTACTATTTTACTATATATTTCTTAAAGAATCACCGGAGGTGATGATCACCGGTGACTGAAATTATGATGATCGACCAGTATTAAAAAAATAAAGTGCCGGTAAAAATTGATAATTCTGGCCAACGGTGATGATCACTCCCGTTGATTTGAAGTAAAAAACTTAAAAGTTATATCTTTTTTTACTGAAAATTTTTTCAGTCTTATTAAAGTAAGATCCTTAAAGAAACCTTAATTTTAAATAAGGTAAAATTTATGGTAAAGTTAAAAGTAATAATTTTACTATATTATATAAAAAATTATTTTAATAAATTAAATTTTAATATTAAGGAATAAGATTTTATTTTATGTAATTTTGGATAATAATAAATAATATTACCATAATAGAATTATTATTTTTCTAAAATTACATTTAATTCTGACCAAAATTGCAGAATAGATTAAATCTTAATTTAATTATCAGGAATTAAATAATGTACATATGCCAAAATATAGTTTTTGCACTATACCAATATGCCTAAATTCCAGACATATGTTAAACAACAAAATGATTAATGATGTAATGAGTTTATTAATGATTGTATATGTGCAGTATGTAAATAATTAATATATAATAAAGATTTGGTAATCTATATTAAAAAAATTAATACATTACAGTTTAATAAAAAAATTATATATATATAAATAGTTTGGAATTTGAGAGTGGTTTGGGATTTGGGATTTTGGCAATCAATAAATGCTGAGAACAGAAATATTTTGACGCAGGTCTTGGCACTCGAGTTTAGTGTCACGATAAGAGATGTGTACGCGCATCTGACACTTTCGTTTGTATTCATAAGTAAAAGGATTAAGAAGTACAGTACTAATAAGACGCCCACAAATTGCCACCCACACAAAACTAACTACGACAATACTTGTAGTTGTGTTAAATATGGTATTAGACGGTTTCGTTAAAGGATTTTAATTGAATGATGACACTAATAAATTTTGTGCAGTATAATACGTTAATCAAAGTCTATAGAATTTATACTCTTTATACATATGAAAACTTCTTACCATTTTGAATTTCCGGAGGTGTTTCAGTGATGTTGAAGATTTGGTTACGTTTAGTACAAGAAACTGACCGGCTAGCCATATCCGAATTAGGGATTAAAAATGTACGTCTTAAAAGATTAAAAATTCCGTAAAAATATCATTAATGAATTTTTAAATAAATCTTTGTTGTGGCATTTAAGAACAAAAGAAGAAAAATTCCTGATTAACCGAACTATCGGCTTGATCTCCGAGTTAAATAACAATTTAATTGAGATCGCCTGCTCGCCGCAGCCCTTTAGACGTGACAATCGTGACATCATGTTAATATGAGATCACGTTGCATCATAGGATTGATCCGCGTATCACATTTTTTATTTATACTTATTTAAATTTTTTTTTTTGTTATGATTGCTTCTAAAATGAGAATCATCCAGTTACACATTCCTAAAAAGTCTATAAAGTTGTACACTCTTTAACCCCTTTCGGTGAATTTTTTTTTTTTAAGAGTTTATAAATTTATTTCACAAAGAACAATTTTGAGAACGAACTTAAAATAATAAAATGTCATACAGTTATCAAAGACTCAATAAAACTAAAGCAGCACAATCCGTGTTACAAACAGGAGAATTATTACACTTGATCTTTTCAGAGTTTGAACATCAAGATGATTTATTTTCTTGTCTATTGATTAATTCGCTATGGGCAATGGTAAGAACGACTCAGCCACCTTGTTTTGTTATTCTTTTTCTTTGGATCTAGGTTGTTCGAGGGATAAAATTTATGATTTACAATATGTGAATGTTATTGGGAGAATAAGAGGATGATGAAGTCTATTATTTAATCAAAAAATTACGAATTTTTTTTCTCAATTTTTGCATTATTTATAATTATTGATTTTTTTGTGTCACTGACAAATCAGATGTCGTCCACGTGTTCAAATATAATTAACGCTAATATTATTTTAATTCTTAGACGATTGTAAGAATTTTATGGAAAGATCCTGAATGGAAATTTTACGAATCATACAAAAAATGGTTTAGAACTTTGAAATCATCAAATACTACGTTTGATTACGCAAAAATGGTTCAAAGATTAAAATTTTGTCCTCATCCTCGATGCGGGAAAGACAAGTATAATGTTAATGAGCTCAAACATATCGCTAACCATTGTACTAACGTGAAGCATATTGAGTTTTATTGCCTTCATGGTACTTTTGAACCCGTACATGTAGCGATGTTTTTGAAGATCTTGCCGGGGTTGACTTCTTTCAAAACAGAGGCAATTTGGCAGCACGCTTTAGATTCAACTTTAATGCCAATTGCTGAGGGATTTTGTCCCAAATTAACGTCTTTAGAAATTCCTGGAAATGGTGATACTGATAAATGCGCTTGGATTCTTCAACGGATTGGCGAGCACTGTCCAAGGATCAATAGGCTCAAAACCCGTTGGGAAATCAAAGGATTAAAGATGGCACAAATTATTGTCAAATCTTTTCCGAACATTGAAGAATTAACTTGCCGTAGTGTTAACTATGATGGTTTGAGAATTTTATTATCGGGATGTCGAAAGCTAAAATATTTTGATTTTACATTCGCAACGGAACTGAATGATGAGATGGCCGTTTCTATCGCTCATATTTTTCCCCAATTGGAAACTTTCAACTTGAAGATTTTCGGAAAAAATAATTTTCCTCAGTTCATATCATCATGGTCTCAGAATCAAACAAAGCTTCGTGAATTGCATCTTTCATTCGGAGAAGGTCTTAGTGATGAAAGTTTCATTCCAATCACTCAAAATTGTACAAGTTTGGAAGCCATTACTTTGTGGTGGTGTGGTGGATTTACAGATGCGTCTTTTGAAGCACTTGCTTGTAATAGGAATGTCGCCTTGAAGAAGTTGCAATTTTATCATGTAAAAGATTTGAAGGATGACGGATTAATAACAATTGCTGACAATTGTCCAAAATTACAGGAACTACATCTGGTACATTGCGAGAGTTTAACGCAAAATTCTTTAGTTAAAGTTGCTAGAGATTGTAAAAATTTGGTGACGGTTAAAGCCGAATTCTGTAGCAGGAGATATAATTGGCAAATGACGGCAGCTTTTCTTTTTACCCTAGCTAATCGTAATAGAGGGACTCTTGAAGTACTAAAGTTTCATGATAGAAATACTTGTATAACTGATACGGAGTCATACGATAAATATAGATTTGATGGTTATTTGTTTGAAAGGTTAGCAAAGAGATGTCCGAAACTAAAAATTCTGGAGCTTCATACATATCATCAAGAAACAAGTCCTACGGTAAGTTATTGATTATTCCTAACGAGACGTTCTTTTGTGATTTAATATAATATTGACATTATTTCTATTATATTTTTTTCATAAAGTCATTATTCCGTGCATTATTGAAATTCAAAAACCTTGAATCATTAACAATATATCCGGGTGAAGATGCACGACGACAACATTTAGAAAAATTACAAACGCATCGTCGGCTTAAAGACGTAGTGTTTTATTTGGGGAACACTGAAGACATGAAAGCGTATTATCAAGAATTTAGTAGGAAAAATAGAGGGTGTATAGCAGCACAGTTTTGGCCCGGAAATTTCATTACTATGGGTTCACATCAGGTACAGGCGATGTAATTTTGAATTTTATTTATTCATATGTGTATTTTATTACTTTCTTTTAAAAGATTTATTATATTATCTTTATTTTGCAAGAAAATTATTTAAAAGAACTTATTTGAGCTTAAAATATCGTTCACATTCTTCGTCTTGATCAAAAATGAACGTCGGAAAAAAGAAAAGCTCCAATATATTATGCAATTGTTTTATTGAAAAATGAATTTTTCTCTCGTACTGATCTTCATTTAAAATCATTAATCGTTTATAGTTTATTGAGAAAATGTTCTTTTTTGTAGTTTAAAATATGCTCTTAATGGAGTTAGAGAAGTTGTGAGGAAGGATTTAGAAGTTTTATGGATCTCATAAAATTAGCAAATGGGAATGAATAAAAATTTATAGGGATTTAGGGAAAATTGTACGCTATATTAATTTATAATTATTAGTCAACTAATAACATAATGAAGTAATTTTACTAAATTCTTAATTATTGTATATATAAATGTAAATTTGGAGTGGATTTGTTGGGTAAGAATAGAGTTTTTTCAGTGAATTAAATAAAGTTAAATTATGATTCTTGTAAAAAATGTTTTTTAATAAAAATTATTAATATTACATCTTAATTGATTAACCTCTTAAAAAGATACATCTGTAAAATTGGATAGGTTGAATAAAGTAGTTAAAGTACAATCAACTCCCTTCTTAATGCACACTTCAGTCTCAAGTATTAATTATATATTATATAACCTCTAATTATTTACTCTCTATAAATGCATACCTTTCGTATTTTTCAGTTCCAAGGAGGTGCATTTATAGTAGTTAGTTATTTTTTTTTTTTTTTAAAAAAAAAAGAAAAAAAAAATATTGATAATATATATTTAGTATTTATTTTTAATATTTGCAATATAAAAAAAATATTACTAATTAAATCTTATAACTTTTAAGAAAATACATACTATATATATATATATCCAGTAATATAATTTAGTAAAGCAATAATACTTTTATACTTTCAATATTATTTAATAAAAATCTTGATAAATTTTTATATACTTGTAATATATTATTAAGTATTAAAAAGTATTTAAATTAAAGAAAAAATCATTTATCTGTTATTAATTTAAATTAAATTAGTTTAATACTAATAATTTATACTAATTATTTTACAAAAAATTACTAATTTTATAAAACATTATTATAAATTTAAATAAAGTATTTTTAGTATTTTTGAAATTAATATATTAAAATAATATTGCAAAATAATTATAAAAATATTAAACAATTATTGTGATATTATTTTGAATTATTTTTATAAAACCAGATATAGTATATATAATTACAAAATAATAATAAATATATAATAAAAGTATTTTAATATTTTAATTATATTTAAAACTAATTCAAAAAAAACAACATTTTTAGTTAAATAAGAATAAATTTAATTAAAGTTTAAATATTTATTAAAATTTATTAAATCTATTACAATAATATGCCAAATATTATTTTATTAAGCAATTATAATAAAAAAAATCTTATAAATAAAAAAATCTTTTTAATAAGAAAGATTTTTTATAAAAAATTTTATTAAAATTTTTTTTAAAATTTTTTTAATAATATTAATTTATTATCATAATATTAAAAAAAAGATTAAAATTTTAATATTTCAACAAAATTAATTAAAATTTAACTAAATAAGAAAATCTTATAAATTATATAAAAATTATATTAGTATTTAATTATAAAAAAATAATTTTTATTACAAATAATTTAATTCTTTATTAGTTCTAATAAAGTTTTAAATATACTGCAAAAAAAATAAAAATAAAATAAATTCTTATTAATAAATTTTTTTAATTATTATAGTGGTTGTCAACATTTGAAATTTTATTTATAACTTATTTTTTAAAGTACTTTGTTAAAATATAATAATTGCCATATAAGTAGCAAAATTTTTTTTGCCATATTATATAGAATTCTTGTAGATTTTCATGGAATTTTGTAAAATCCATAAAAATTACATGAAAACTAGTCCAAAATTTTATGTTTTTATTATTGCTACTTATTAAAATTATCCCACTTTAACACATAATAAGGACCTTGAAACATATATAAAAAGGTAAGGTGACCTTCGAACTTTTACTAATAGCTGTACGCAAGGATTTTCTATAAGTTTAGTATGCAAAATTATCTCCTTACTTTGGATAATTATAAAAAATACGCAAATTAATTTTCTAACCACAAATAATCATGTGATTTACATATTGTTTTATTGATCAAACCACGTTTATCAGAAAATTATTTTTTAAAAAAAAATTTAATAACTTTATATATCACATAATTATATAAATGTATTTATTAATGCACAAGCATTATGCATTTTTTAGCACTATATAAAGTTTTTTTGCACTAATGGTTATTTATATTTATTTTTATTTATTTCAATGAAATATATATATATATGATCAGTCAAATTACTAAAAATACGCAAAATAAACCCTTACTTAAACAAAAACCTGTTAAAAATATGCATTTTAATAGTCTGACCGTGGCTAAAAAATCTTCAGGTTGTATGCAAATCAATACCTAATTCCATAAAATTTCTCTATGCTGGCAACATAATTATGCACCTTACCCCTACATATATATTTCAGAGTCCTGCATAATATTAATTAAAATTTTTATTAAATTTTATAAAATAATCTGATAGAAATGTTTAGTATAGTCAAACCTTGATATAGCGAACTCTTGATATGGTGAATTTTTCAGACAACTATAATAAATTTCCCCTTTCTATAATGAATTAACTAATCAAATCTCTTAAAATCTTCACTATAGCCCTATAGTAAAGTTAAGGTTTAAAACCTAGGATTCATTATAACAAGGATTGACTGTACATATTGCTCTATCATTTTATTAGTTTAGTTTTTTCTTTTTATTATTTAATTTACAATTTATAAAAATTTGAAGTCATACAATATTAGTGTGGTTTATAGGTAACAGAGGACCCAGAAATATATATATAGGGGTCAGGTGATGAAAAAAATTTTTTACTATGAGTTGTATGCATTTTTTCAGAGCCAGAATTATGATAATGTCAGTCAGTTACTATAATGGGAAATAAAATTCTGACTGGAATTATCAAAAATTATCTAAAAAAGGAAAGATTTTCATGATTTTTTTAGTTCAAAATACGCAAACTCAAACCTGACCCTTTTATATATATTTCTGGGTCCTGGTAACAGCAGGTAACTCACAAATAAACTTTAAATATTAAAGTAAAAATACATTTTATGACATAACTTTGTCAATATTAAAGCTAGAAATGTGATTTTAATATCATTAAAATCCTCTCATTGAGATAAATTCGATGATATAAATTTTAATAAAATCAAATCACTGGTTGTGTTAAAAACAGGGGTATGTAGGATAACAAAATTTTGAAAATACCCCTGTAATACACAACTTTTGAAAAATTTTAATATAAACTTTATGCAAATTCAAATATGAGTTTGTAAGAGGATCTTCGTAACTCTTTCTCCGTTCCCCTCTTTGGGGTAAAATAATTAAAACAAATTTAAATATTTTTCTTCATCTTTATAGGGTTTCTTGGCAGTTACCTGAGACAAATTTTTCTCCTTCCTTTTATTTACTTTTGTTTAATATTATTTTATTTGATAATATTGAGTGGTTATGCATCTCGACAAAGGTTTACATGAAGAAGATTCTGACGATGACAAGGATGACCCTTGCCTTATCTTCTGGCTTATTTCTCTTCAAGTTCAATATAATAATGACCTTCCTTACGTCAGAAAATATCTTTTATTCCATAGAGCTCGTTATGAGCCCTTTATTAACACTCCTTTTTGGAATACTTAATCGTTACCTACTCGGAATTTTATTTCTGAAGTATATACTGAAAAAATGGATATTCAGTTTACTCTCTACGAAAGATCGACTTCTGATTATCCTGTTACACCAATCAGCCCATCTACAGCTCTTTTTGTTGATCACTCATTTGAGAGTCCCCTTCCTGCCAATCTGAGTTCCCATGATGTAAATCATTTGGATAGCTCCCTTGAAAATACGGGTTCTTCAGATAATTTTTTTGGTGATATTATTACTCCGACTATTAATTGGAATAATTATCTTGATCCCAATGTTAATGAAGATGAATTAATTGAGGATGACCTAAAAATGGATGAATTTTTGGACTCAGTGTATGCTGCATTTGGTCTTCCTTCGGTTTTATCAACTATTTCTTCTTCTTCTTTCTCGGTTTTAGTTTCTTATGATGATACGAGTTTGATATTTTTATCCGATTCGGATGATGAATTTTCAGATTCTGATGATGAATCTTCTTTCCTGCCTTTTGATGATGAAACTTTATTGTATTATGAAACTGAATGGATAGAGTTATTTTTCCGTTCAGTTTGTTTTTCCTTTATTCCGCTTTATTTACGGCCTCCCTTTATTAATTTGGATTTGACTGAAATCTCTTCGAAACAACTTCCTGCTTCTTTGCCTCCGCTCTCCTTCCTCGACTTAAGGGTCACTCATGGACGTTGGTTATTTTGGAAACTTTTTGTACGATTTTCAGGTTTTGGAGCGGTCTTAGTTCCTCCTTCTTTTTCGTCTGCAGATTTTAAATTTTATGATAGACTGTATCGTCTTCATCCTTCCATTTATGATCAAATAGCTCGCTTTACGTGTTTATTTGAAATATATGCTGGACTTTTTGTACTTACTTGCAGAATATGTGGTTTTCTGCACAGTATTTATATAGTGTCATTTTCTTTTAAAATTCTTTTTATAGCTAATATGCGTTACTCTTCCTTAGCCAATGTGCTTCCTTCCTCGCTATAAATTTGTGACTCTAGCCTTTCTAGGATTTTATTATCTGCTGGAGTCATTAGAGTAGTTGAACAGTCCTCGTTTGAACTTATATATTAGCCTTCGTTGTCGTGGGTTGAGATTGTTTAGACTTGGGTAGTTGACTTGAAATTTTGCTATTTGTGGTTTAAAGTTGGAGTATACAATTTAGGAATTTATAGTTTAGTTTTCTTCTCTATATGTACTTTTTTGTGCGACTATTTCATTTTTGTTTTTTCTTATGTTTGTTATCTCTTATATATTTTGAGTGCGCATAAAAATTAATAAACTTTAACTGTTAGTACTATCAAATATGAGTTGTAAGGGTTGATCACCCTATCTCAGTGGTATGTGACTGAGACCTTCATTAAGCCTGAGTATGGTGAAGTCACAGGTTCAATTCTGCCGATCACGGAAATAAAACGAATTTTACTGCAGACGCTACTACCAATAGCGTGAAGGTACAGGGATTAGTTGGATTGGATTGCATCTTAGTATATTAGTATGTACGGTAACGGCCGCATATTTCAACAAAGAGCCTCAATGTCCTTTCCACGTTTCCTAAGAGGTCATTGGTATGTTTGGAGTCCTGTCTTGATGGTCACTGCTTGCATACCATCGGAAAGGTGTCTTGTCTTGGTAGCCACTGGTAAGAACTATGCCACTGGGGGTGTGGCTAGCTTTACTGCGTGAAGTTAGTTGTGCTAGATGGGTACCTTAGATGGTAAAGTCAGGTTGCAATGTCTTTATGGTAGTTTACTTTCTAATAGGTTTAGATCAGCCTGTATGTTCCTGAACAGATGGTATTGGGATAAGGTATGGGGTTCGATTCCCCACCATACTCAGCTCCTGGTTGGTGATCCTTGGTGGTATGGTAGCCACTATAAAAGGTGAGCCTGGAAATTCCTTGAGGTTTCCTGTCCTGGTAGTCACGGTTTGTGTTGTTAGTTCTTCACAGCTACCACTGAGGGGTTCACAACTATACCATCGGTGGTAGGTAATCACGGGCTGTAGTGGCCTTTGAGTGAGACCTAGTACCTAATATGGTGGTATGGAAGGGTTCTAGATGGTTGCCTGATATCACGAAAGCCACCACTGTACCATTAGCTGAGGAACTCGTGAATAAATATACTGGCTAGAGGCTACTTTACAGTGGGTGAATGGTTAGTAGGGAAGGCCACATGGAGTTGGGTCTTGGCCCAAGATAGTTTCAGGACGTGTTATACAGATCCCGTATAGGTAGTGTAGTATCATAAAAATGGTGCTACCCCTGTGGGAATGTGACATGTGCGATGGGGTCCTTCTTAGGATGACCATTCCTTCCAGAGTATAATCACAGGTCAAAAAGTGAAAAATCAGGCACCAATCGGTCATCAATCAGGTAGCTGATTGGTGCCTGATTGGTGACCGATTGGTGCCTGATTGGCATTTTCGCCAAATACTGTCACCAATCAGGTAGTTTGCTAACTTTTGATCCAGTGATCAGAAAAGGATGAAATATAGCTCATTGGAATCGTTTCAACATGACGAATCTAATGGTAGTAAAATCTCATTTCTAGGATTAATACTTGATGAGAAATTAAGTAAAATATAAAAATAAAAATGTATCATTTATATTTTATTTAATTTTTTATTAACTATTAATCCTAGAGATGCGTTTTTACTACCATTAAATTCGTCTTGTTAAGACGATTCCAATGAGCTATGTTTCATTCTTTTCTGATCACTGGATCAAAAGTTAGCAAACTGCCTGATTGGTGACTGATTGATACCTGATTTTTCACTTTTTGACCTGTGAATAATATATCTTCAAATATGAGTCGTAATAATATTGTTCAGGATTCTGTAATAACCACCATACTATTTTTAATTTAATGCAATTCTTTTAATTATGTAACTAAATAAGAATCCTAAAAAATACATATAGAGATTATAAATAACTAGCAAGATTTTGGCCTAAAATAAACAACTTTTTAGAATCAAAATAAGATCCAAAAGATTACTAAATCCTGTATAACTAAAATTTTAAAATGCAATATTTTAGTTAATATTACATCTAAAAAGATAAATTATATATCAAAATATTTATCTTATTAAGATAAATTTTAAAAAAAAGATTATTAAATCTAATTATTAAATTTAAAAATAGCAAAATTTGAAGCTAAAATCTATGTATAACTTTATATATTTAAAATAGAAATTAATTATAAAGTTTATACAAATTCAGATTTGAGTTTTTTTAATAATTTTCAAAGTTTCACTAGAATTATAATAATGCCAATTAGTATCAAAAAAAGACAATAAAATTTAAGCCAATATTATTTAAAAAAGTTAAGATTTTTATGAAAATTTAGTTTTTTTAAGTAAACTCAAATATAGCCTTTTTATATATTTTTAGGATTTTACTAAATATAAATCTAATTTAATTTTTCCGATTTCTTCTATTTTTTTCAATTATTTCTAATAAAAATTTCTTATTATCGCCGTTTTCGAATTACTGTGATCAGGTGATGTCGATCATTTATAATTAAAAAATACTGAAAACACCGAAAATAACCGAAAACAACCTAAAAATAAGCCAAAACACATGCAAATATTCCTTGTAAAATTTTCTAAATAATTATTGGTCAATTTTTTATAAAACTGGTCATTTACTTAATATAGTAATTAGTAAATAGATTATATAATACTTACGCGAAAAAGAAGTTGAAGTAATTTTTCGCGTTTGGAGTTATTTAAATGGCGGAAAATTTAACTTGCAATTACCTTCCCGGTATTTGTTATATATGTCAAAAGTGTTTGCGTTGTTTCAAACTTCCACAAGAAAATCCGTGCAAGTGTCAGAAAGATAAAATATCAAGAGTTAAAAAACCACTGCATGGACAACAAATATATCAACGTGCTTATACTACAAACCAAATTTTTCCAAAACTCAATAATTTTTTACTAGATATAAATACTAAATTTGGTTACAATAATAATTTTGAAAAAAACTTTTCCTATACTACTTGCAGTGCTTGTAATAGTAAACTTCAACGATTAAAAACTAGTGATAAAAAATCTCAACTAAAAAGTAACAAAAAAAGCAATAGGAGAGCTCAGATAAACAATGAAGAAATCATTTCAATAGATGATTTGCCAACAGAAAATAGTAAAAGAAAAGTGGGAAGTTATAATAATAAGAAAGAAAACGAAAAAGACAATGATAATGAAATAGAAGATGAAGGAGACGATGATAAAGATTTTAATAATAAAGATGATGATTATTATGACAAAGATAGTGATGTTAATGATGAAAACTATGAAGAAGACGATGATAATGGAGATTATGATGAAGAAAGTGATAATGACAATAAAAAATATGAAGAAGTTGATATTATTGAGGAAATAAAAATACAATTAGTTGTAAAAAATAATAATATAAAAATCCCTACAGCAAAAACTCTAACTATTCGGCCTGCTAGTTATAAAAATTTTACAGAAAAAATAAATTTAGCAACTAAAAAAATTCTAGAAAAAGAAACAAAATCAAAATACAGTTATACTATTTCGTATAAAGCTGTAAATGCATGTTGACCATCAAATACACTTGAAGATAAATTGGATTTTCAGGAATTTATTAGTGAATATCAAAAGGTAACATTAACTGGGAAAAAAATGTCAGTGATAGTGGTAGTAATTGTGAAGAATAACGTGACAGAAAAAAAAAATAGGAAACATAAAAAGGTAAAGTATTTTATGTATAATGCGAGATAATAGGCAAAAATATTTAACATTTATAATTTTTTAGCATTCTGATGATAATATTAGATCATCTTCTGAAGAAATTGAAATACAAACCAAAAAGAAAAAGAAATCTCGTTCACTAAGAGAAGATGATTTATTAAAAGAGTAGAAAAGAAGATCTGAAGTCATTGCTGATTTGGTTGAAATGTATAAATGTGATTTACATTCTACTCCATGTTTTATTCAAGATGGTCGGCATTTGCAGCTTAATCCTTCTAGATTACAACTTTGGGCTCGTGAAATTGTATGTAAAGTATGCTTTTTTATAAATTCAAATGAAAAATGATACCTACTAATTATTAATTTTGTTTAGATAAACAAATGAACAACCTATGATATTCCTCCATCTTATCCAGTATTTGATATGAAATCAAGTGTATTTATCAATAAAAATAATTCTGCAACGCAAATGCAAAATAGTCAAACATCCAATACGCCTACTCCTATTTTTATTCAATTACCAAGTCAAGTTTATCAAAATCTGACAAATACTCATTTGGAATTACCTTCATCAAGCAAATTACCATCAATTGGTGAGTTTCTTAATAACTTAGACCTGAAATATAATTGTAATAATATATATGCTAAATTTGAAGATGCATTTCTTGAAGAAGAAATTACAGTTAATGCTATAAAAGATTTAACAGATGAGCAATTGCAAAAGTTAGGCGTGGTGAAAATTGGATGGCAAAAAAATATTAAACAAGCAGCGCAACAATATTGACTTAATGTATTTTGATTATCATATAATATAATAAAGATAGTATTTCAAATATAAATTCTTGTTCCAGTTTTTTATTTTATTATTCTAAATTGGTTATATTTCTATTTTTTTTTATTCTAATTGATTATCAAATATAAATTGATGCTTCAAAAAATGCTTGTGCCATTTGAGACGTTATTTGACTACATGCAACTAATAATGCATGTATAGGATCATTATAAGCTTCCATAAAATCACGATTACGCCTGATCCATGATTTGATAGTTGAAAATGCAGTTTCGATAGGATTGAAATCGGGTGAATATGGTGGAAGAAAAACAACATGGCATCCTAATCCTCTTAATAGTGCTATTAATTCATCATCATGGTGTATTTTTGCATTATCCATAATAATTACACTATTATTATCTGGATATGGGTTCATTATTAGTACCTAAAGATAAATTTATCAATTAGAATATAAAATAAATAAATAAATAAATAAACTTGTATAATTATTATTTACCACTTGATCAAGAACAAAATCAACAAATCTTTTTCTATCACATGCTCCTTCAAATATATCAACAGCAACAAATCCTTCTAATGTAAGAGCAGGTAAAATTGTATATCTTTTTCCTCGTACAAACACAACTTTTTTATGTGCGCGTATATTGCGAGGAGAATATCCATATAATCTTGATAGACTCCTCTCATCTTTAGCACTTTCATCAAGGAAAATCAACTGGTTTGGGGTGTAATGTTCACCAATAACACCTAAATAATGTGCACGTATAATATCATTTCTTTCCAGTGCTGCCTTATGTAACTGTATTGAATAAAAAATAAATATTTATTTCAAAAATTCATAATATAAATAAATTACTTACTTTTTTTCGAGTAATTCCCATGTATTGAAGTGAACGCCAAAGAGCTGCAATAGATGCTCTTTTTCCAGTTAGACACTCCATTTCATATACTAATTCGTCCAAATACCAGTCTGCTTTTTCTGCTACAAGATTTCTAAGTACAGCCATATCTGCTCTACTAAATAGTTTTCTACGACCAGGAATACCTTTGAAAGGATTTTTAACACATGCCCAACGGTTATATCTCCTTATTATCTTATTTACAAAACCCTTACTCACGTATAATGTATTAGCAATATCTGCAGTAGAAAATCTATCAATGTGAAGATAAATAATACGCCAGCATAAATCTTCGCTAAATTCTTGAGGCATGTTTGAGGTCTTTTAGCAAAAAAAAAATATATTTATTATGGTTTTTGTCTGTAAATATTTTGAAATCGGATAGAAGGGTTGGAGCCGATTAGGAATCAGTTAAAATCGGTCTCTAAGTTACTTGTAAAAACACGAAGCGAATAGCAAAAAAATACAACGAATGTGATACAATAATGGCTTAACACTACGTAGATCAAATTTACACAATTTTATATGTATAACGTGATCAATTTTTTTTTGAAATTCTGGAAATCAATTTTTTTTATTAAAATTAAAAAATTGCCGATCACAGTAATTCGAAAACGGCGATAAATTTATTTTTGTAAATTTTTTATGATTTTATAAACTTTTTATAACAAATTATATACTTATAAGATTATAAATATAATATTTAGTTATTTACCAAATAAAAGTTAGTTATCAAGTTTATATGAGGTTTTACAGGACCCTGAAATATACATAAAAGGGTCAGGTCAGAGTTTGCGTATAATGAGTCAAAAAAATCATGTAGATCATTCCTTTTATGGATAATCCCAGCCAATATAATATTTCCTAATTTAGATAATTGCTGAAATTATCGTAATTCCGGCCCTGAAAGAATGCGTATTTTGGACTACTTCTGGATCTGACCTCTATATATATATTTCAGGGTCCTGGTTTTACAGATTTCTTCTAATTTTTTTTTATGCAAAAGTTGTTTTAAAAGTTATATTTTTAAATAAAAATTTTATTTTTATTTAATTATATAAAAATAAATAAATGTTAATTAAGTATTTTTTATTAATATTTTAATAAATTTAAGTTTTATTAAGTAAACTATATATTTTATATATTTATAATACTTTGATTTAGTTCATCAGAAATATTTACTGGTTAAGTGAGATATTTTAGAAGTTTATATTTATGAATATATAAACTAACTACCATAATAAAATATTGATCCCTATGAGGATAAATAAAAAAAAAAAAGATAATAATAATACTTTAATTAGTATTAACCGAACAGGTTATATAAATGTTATAAAAAGATAAAAAAAATTATTTATTTACTGCAATACTACTGCAATATATGTGATATTTTAATAAAAAGATATATGCACAAATTATTCAATAATAGCAAAATATCAAAAAATATAATAATTCTTTATATCTTTTCATCTTCTTTATTTTACTATTTGCTAAATTCTTTTTTTTTTTGGTAAAGAATTTATTATAGATATTTTATAAATAAATAGAATCTAACTAACAAGTTTGAACAGGTTGCAAATAATATTTTTAAAGTCTTCTACTACTGCATTTTACAGTATGAATGCCATCAACAGCTAATTTGGCAGTATTAAACATAGCCAGATGAAAATAAACTATCTATATATAATAAATACGATAATTGTATTTATAAGAGAATTGCCAATAAACCAAAATTATTTGATAGCAAAAAAGAAATAATAAAATTATTGGAAATAGTAGAGTTTCTTTTACAAGAAGAATAAGTTAGTCCAGATGATATGATTAACAATTTTAGAAATGAAAAAACAATAAAAGTAAAATAGAAAAAATGTAATACATTACTTATCTACTTATCTGATCAGGATCCCAAACAATACTAATACAACTATCAACAGTCATACTTTATGCGCACTCAAAACATATACAAGAGATAACAAACATAAGAAAAGTCAAAAATGAAATAGTCGCACGAAAAAGTACATATACAACTATCATTTGAGAGTTTATATTAAAATTTTTCAAAAGTTGTGTATTACAGGGGTATTTTCAAAATTTCGTTATCCTACATACCCCTGTTTTTAACACAACTAGTGATTAGATTTTAATAAAATTTATATCATTAGATTCGTCTCAATGAGAGGATTCTAATGATAGTAAAATCAAATTCTTAGCTTTAATATTAACAGAGTTATATTATAAAATGTATTTTTATTTCAGTACTTATTAAAGTTTACTTGTGAGTTATATTAGTATTATTCGGGATTCTATCTGACCTATCTGAAAAAAGAAAGGTGTTAAAAACTAAAGAATTGGTTCAATTTGCATTAGTAAATTTAGTTATACTGGTTTAGTAAGACCCCGGACATCTCTTATAGAATTTACAACTGACTTTTTGCCAAAAAAGACCCAATTTGCTCTTTTATTATTTTCCATTTTTTGCGATTATCTCAGTATCCAGTGATCTGATTCATGCGGATTTTTTTATTTTGTAGAGCTCAATGAGAGCTACAAAACAAAAGAAAGTTTGTACAAATTGGACCACTGGATGCTGAGATAATCGCAAAAAAATTGATTTTTTTTTTGTAAAATTTAGGTCAATCTGCGAAAAAGTTGCCACTGAGTTGTATATGTAATGTTTGGGGTCCTGGTTTAGTTCTAGAAAAAATAATTTTGTGAAAACTATTTAAAGATGGTACAAGTTTATCTAGTAGTATTATAATAACTGATATCATATAAGAAGTATAAGCAAATGTTAATACAATGCAAATCTGAAATTATTTTGTCAAATAAATTAAAGCTTTATATATCTTTTAAATTATGATTTATACTAGATAATTTTGATTGTTCTACAAATTTACTTAATACCTTAAGAAAAATTATAAAATATTATTTTAATATTTTTGACAATTTATGGCTTTAAAGGATAAAGAATATTAAATTTTACCTAAGGTAAAAAATATTTTCACCTTTTATCAGTTATGAAATTATGAAAAATTTTTTTTTTAATGATTAAATTAAAAGGTTATTGATTATATTAATTTTTAATATTTGTTTTTCTTTTAGAATTTATCACATTTTTTTTTCATTAATTTAAAAAACTTTTTTTACTAAATTAAAATAAGAAGATAATTTTCTTATTAAGATTAATTACTTTTTTAAGAATATTATAAATAGTGATGCAAATTTGTATATATCATAAAATTATTATTAAAAAAAAAATATTATAAAAAAAAAAGGGTATTGCTAAATATCACCAGTGGTGATCGTCACTACACCACTTAATTCTGGCCGAAAATTATAATTTTGGCCAGAGTTAAAAAACACATCGTAAATTTTTTTTTCAAAAATTTCAATTTAAATAATAAATGTATAAAACAAACCTGAGTAGATAGATACTAATCACACTAAAATTTTGAAAATTTGACTAAAAAAAATCTTTTTTAAAACAAAAAATTTTATTTTACTTATAAAATCAAACCTTCCTATTTTTCTTAAAAACTATTTATATTATAATTAGAATAATATCTCAGTCAAAAATTTTGAAAATTCAAAAAATAATTTACATGTGGTAACGATCACCACTGGTGATATTTAGCAATACCCAAAAAAAAAATTAAAAAAAATTATTATAAAAAAAAAAAATTATTATTAAAAAAAAATATTATTAAAAAAAAATTATTATTAGGCCAAACAAATTAAATTTTATGTTTCTTATTTTTAAAATCACATGATTTGACATAAAAGGCCAGATTTTTTTTTTATTTTTATATATGTAAATCAATTTTATTGATCCAAATTATTTCTATTTGTGCAATAAAATGGGATGTACAATATATTTATAAAGTTATTGGATGTTCTGTAATCTTTTCATTTAATTGTTAATAAAAATGTACAAAAAAATGTGATAAAACCACATTTCACAAATTCCACAGTTGTTTAAAAAATGAGTGTAATCAACATATTATAAAAAGAGGTCTAAAATAAATATATAGATAGATGATCCATTCATTTAATGCCATGGATAATGAATATACAATTGAACAATTTTATAATGATTTACTATTAAATATTTTGCCTGAAGAAAATCGGGAGTTAGAAGTTAAAGCTTTTTTAGGAAAACATGTTAATAGTGTTTCTAATGGGTGGTTTTAGATTGTTCAATTGCTAATGCTACAAAAAATTTTGGTCAATACATTGAATTCCGATTGCAAGATATACCAAGACAATCATTAGTTAAAAAAAATGCTTTTAATATTTTATTACAAGAATCAAATTAGCGTTATTTACTGATAATGAAGGAAAATGGTAATGAAAAAAAATGTATGATTTTTGATTTTATTGATTATCTTCAAGAAAATAATGCAGGATGGGTTGAAAAAGATGTAGTTGAAAGTCTTGGACAAGAATTTGTTAAATATGTAACAGAAGCAATCTGGTATATTGATATGTGTGGTGTTAAAAAACTTAAAAATTGAGGATATAGCATTTCCAAACAATTGGATAATTTTTTTAAATGTGCTAATCCAGTAAAATACAAAAAAAAAGACCCGATTTTGATAAAGATATATTAAATGAGTATATTGGAAATTTGATACCCTATAAAGAAGCAAAATGATTTAACAAACCTTCATTTAATTGGTTCAAAGAAATATTTATTGAATTTTTAGATTCTTTAGTATCATATGTATTATATTTAGATAATCAAACAAAGATTATAAATGAAAATCACATCCTGGATAAATCAATTCATTCTATTGCAGATTCTGGAACTACTATCATTTATAATACTAATAAGTTTCATCTAAGTGATGTTATAAATAAATATGAAACATTAGTTAATGTTTTGCAAGAATTAGAATATTGGATTCTGTTAGATTAGTATTCTGCATGAATCAAATTTCTCCTCTGAAATTCGATTTGATTCAGATTCAATTCAAACTCGATTTGACCTCTAAAAATTATTATCTCAGGATCTAGTGATCCAATTTTGATGATCTTTTTTTTTAATCAATAGGTCTCATTGTATTGATCAAAATAAAAAAAGATCATTGAAAATGAATTGCTAGATTAAAGTTATTTGCAAAATACGTTTTTATTATTTGAAAGCAATCAGGGTCACACCATGTCATGAATCAATTCGTGCAGAACACTACATTATCCTACGTAAGTAATTAATAATTTACTAAAATTAATTCAATAAAAAATTAATATACAATTAATTTGTAGAAAACGATATGTTTATATATCTTAATGGTTTTGAAAAAGCATTTCCTTTTAAAGTTAATCGTTATTCTTTTAATTCTGGCAATAATACATTTAATGTCACTTGGATATGAAAGGTTGATATACATGTAACAGCAGAATCAGAAATAATGAATGAATTACGAAAGATTATTTCCAATCTTAAAGAATTTGTACCATAATACCAGGACCCCGGATATCTAATATAAAGGTCATAATGGACTTTTGGCCAAAACACCCTTTTTGCTAAAACTCAAAAAATTGTTTTTTGTAAATATCTCAGCATCCAGTGATTCAATTTTAATGAATTATTTTTTATTTTGTAGCCCTCATTTAGCTCTACAATTTAAAAAAATGTTCATCAAAATTGGACTACTAGATGCTGAGATATTTACAAAAAACGATTTTTTGAGCCCCTGAAAATGGGCCAATCTGCCGAAAGTGTGACTTATGACCTGTTTTGGAGATATCCGGGGTCCTATAATACCTTTTCAGAAAACAAAAATATGCATTTATTAATATAAATACAGTAAAAAAATTAATTTTTCGAAATATTTATAAGACACTTTTACAAGATAACACTGCAGCAAATTGTGAAAATGAGGCAGAAGTTGTAGTGTTTCAACCCATTTACCCGCAATTTATATCCATGGATGGATATCTGCTATTTACGGTTATCCAGATAGGATTTTTTAAACGAATATGGATGATAAATGAATATAAATGAGAGGATTGAAGGTTATCTGTAACAGATTATCTAGATTATTTGTATCATTAACAGATTATCCTTTAATTTTGTTAGACCTTCAGTTTTTTGACCACTTGGCTTCAAAAACAATAGTTAAGTTAACTTTTTTTATTTCTTTTTTTTGTTACTTTTTTTTTGTTTTTTTCACTAATTTTGTTTTTCTTCTTTAAATCGTTTGATTTTTCAGCCACTTAAATTTTGGAGACATCGTAGTAAATTTCCATATATTTAGATTATTAAAGAATATCCAGATGGACTGTTAAGATGTCTGGATAATCTTTAATTTGTCACTATGAATATCTGGATTGTATTTTATTAGACGAATTAGTTTGATGGGTGATAAATATTAAACAGATCAGATTGAATTTTCTGCAGTTGAAATACTAAAAAGTTGATTTTTGTATAATAAGAGCATTACAATTTAGTAATCCAAAAATTGTAATTGATTTGCATGAATTAAATCTTAGTCAGTTAGAAAAGTATAATGTTTTCTGGAAATATTGTCAAAAATTTCTGGATGGTACCATAAAAAATTCAGTAGATTCTTTATTAGCTGTTGATGAATGATGCCATGACACAATTGTTTATCTAGCAAAAGCAATATTAGTAAAAGATTTACACAATCAAATTGCTGCAATTTATCCAGAAAATACACCACATAGCAGAAACTTATGATTTTAAGACAACACTTTCACTATGATGTAACAGGTCCCCGCCTACTATTAAGATAGGTCACCCTGTGGCCTAAGGTAAGGTTTACATATAAAACTCTTTGAAGATCCTACTATAAAAGGAAATTTTATGTTACATTATTATGATTTTTTTCCTTTTTAGTCAATTAACCAATAGAATTTAAGCAAATCCTAAGGTAAGGTTTCATATGAAAGTGAAATTTCTACCGGTAACATATCTTAGTAGTAGGCGGGGTCCTGATGTAACATCATGGTTGTAATAATGTGACAATGCATTTTACATTAATGCAAAGTTACAATACACTCACGATGCTGTGACAGTGTTGTTAGGTATATCGTAATGATACTGTGAATTTAAATTTTTCAATGTTATAAAACGGTAAACTATTTTAATATTAATAAATTTCAGAATTGTCAAAAACATAGTTATAATACTTGTAATTGCATAGTGATAATATTGAAACTGTATTAAAACCGTGTGATACACTGATACTATGCTAAATTATCATTAAATAATCATTAGTAATTATATAAAAAACAATGTTTACTGAATAATATATGAATTACTTTATTAATTTAAACATAAATTTAACCATCTTTTAACATTAAATGTACATAATTAAATGTAAATATACAGATAATTGATTTAACAATTTTATGTAAATTTGAAATTACAATGAAATAAGTATAACATTTATTATAAAATGACTTGTACAGAGACTTTTATACATGTATTAAACAAAAACATAAATATAGAATCATAAACTTCGTAGCCACGCTCAATTAAGGCAATGTATTACTAGACCTACACTAAAGATGACTTTAGCAAGGCTTTCTTTGTGATTTTAAAGAAATTTCATACACTTTGCCAGCTGGTGAGTTAGCTTATGACTTCTAACCTCAAATCAGTTTATATTTTGTCTAATTTTTATTGAAATGCATAATTACACCAAGTCCAAAGAGTTGAAGAACAAACCATCTGAAAAAAGTAAGATGAATATTAGTACTATTTATTAAAAGAAAAATCAAAGAAAAGAGTTAAATATCTTACAAAATTCGCGTTGTCACCCCCATCTGCTACCCGGCGGTAAACAAAATTCCCTACTTCTATTATATGTACTCTCGGCGAAACATTAATATTTTTGCTTGGTTTAGTTTTACATCTTTAACTTGATTTTCACCCATTTCTAAGTCACACATGGACTTCTTAATATACATTAGCCACACTTGGGCTCTAAAGTCACTGGTCTCGGACTTTCTTAATATACAAGCCACACTTGGGCTTCTCAATAAACCACACTCGGGTTTCTCAAAATAATACGAGTCACACTTGGGACTCCTTAATTCTTTATATTCATATTCATTCCATCATTTTAATACTTATTTAACATTAATTAAAACTTAGGTGAACCATAAGTATATTCGAAATAACTTTAATAATTAACATTTTTACAAACATTTATGAACCCTTTACCCATATGATTGTGTACATTCCGACTAACCGAACTATTATGTTCATGCGTTTCTCATATATCAAATGGTAAAGGAATTCATTATTTAACATACTTTTTCATCATAAGAAAACAGTATAAAAGAGTCGATAATCATTAATTAATGGGTAAAAAGTACTTTATTTATATTTTGATCTTCATAAAATTCACAACTAACTAAATTACCTAAAATTCAAAATCCTCACTGGCGACTGTGGAATTCCATTCCCATTCCACTCCTATTTTAACAAACTTTCTTATTCTTTCTTTTTCTTACTTCTTATCTAATATTTTATGTTATGTGTTATCTTTTATGTACTATCTTTTATGTACTATCTTTTATGTACTATCTTTCTAATATACTATTTTCAATATGCTATCTTTTTAATACACTATTTTTAATATGCTATTTATATACTATTTTATATGTTATCTTTTCTATCTTTTAAATATTACATCATAAAGAAATAATTTATAACCCATCTTTTATGGCTGTGCTATCTTTTCTTTAAAATAACATAATCTTTCAAATATTATATCATAAAGAAATAATCCATCTTTTGTGGCTGTGCTATCTTTTTGTATCATCTTTTTATATTATCTTTTATATTATCTTTTCATATTATCCCATAATCTATCTTTTGTGGCTTATAGTTACTCCTCCTAATTATTCCTATTGATGAACTTGATAAACTGGTTGCTAAGCTGCATCGATCGACCTTCCTGATTAATCTATTGGTTTATCGTTAATCATTTATCCTTTCCGGCTAATTATTTATCCGATCATGTGACTTCCTACCATGTAATCTTCTATTCGATATATTATTTATCTATTCCATTAAGTCCAATATCCATGGTTACAATGTATTTCATGTATTGAATGTAATAAGCCAAGAGTTTTATATTCTAACAAGTTAACATTAAACATGGCAGGGAGCTATAGTCATAGTATAATTAGAACTGTAATAATTCTGACTTTTTTTTTAATTAAGTTGGTTTATACTACCATACAGTATCATAATTATTATGATAAATAGTTTTTAAGATTTAAAGAGAATTTCTAAATTTTAACTGGTGGAAAAATTACTGGTAGATCATGTGATTGTGTATTAAATATTCATGTGATTTATTATGATGATGCAATTTCATTTGGCTCGCTTCGCTCGCCGGGCTTTTCTAGCCAAACCATAACTTTCACTTTATTTGCAAAATTTTTGATTATATTTAACATATCTATAAAAAAAAATGAGAAATTACTCTTAACTAGCTATTAACATAATTTTTTTCTCATTTGGTAAAGGAT